ACTGCCTACAATATACTCAAATATAAATTACTTTAACTTTGATTGATGCGGTTATCCCTGAGTCACTGAGAGTAACAGCTCACCTATGTTTGATCTCAGCTTAAATGGTTATATAACTGCACAGATAAGTCCATACACAATACAACATACTTTAATGCAAGGAGCTTGAAACTTGAGATCAGAATAGCTAGCTTCAAGTTCTTGACTTTCTAGTAACCAGCACTTGAACTTAGGCAAAGTTACCAAGTCATGGTCTTCTCATCAAAAACTGGTGATCAGAAACCATACAGGAAAGGCAGCTACAGTTCAGGTTTATGTAGGATAAACACTGGGCTTGTAAAATTAATATTACGGAAAAGAAGAATCATGCAGATAAAACAATATGGTAAGAGGTCTGCATGTGTGCAGAAATATGTTCATATCAGCCAGTCTCTTTTCATCATGCTCTCAGACCATTTCTCTCTCAGATTTTTCAGGGACCGATGGACTTCTCAAGTTGATGTTAGGAACACTCTCTGTCAGGGTGAAATCGACCTCAGGCCAAACAGATCTCCCTAAGAGCTTCTGTTCTAGGTTTGGCAGAATGAACCCACTCTGTCCTCTGGGCCTTTGTGGGCTTGAACTTATTCTATGTTGACAATTCCTTTCATATAATAAATCGATGGCACAAGATTAATTGAAAACTCTTCGAGAGTAACATTTGGAATTAAGTAAAACGTGTCTGCATTGAAGTCCTAATGAAAAACTTCAGCGGTTACATACAGCATACACCATCAGAATACATGCTTCCAGGGGGAGGTGTGTTTATCTGTTTTGTTCACTGTTGTGCACACGGCCTCTATCTAGAATTATGTCTGGCCCATGGTAGAGGAATAAGCACATAGTGAAGATCTGCTGAGTGAAGAATGAATATTAAAAGAAGGAAGGAATTCGTGGCTAATGAATGAGGTTGTGAGTTTTCTACACTCACAAGCAAAAACACAAACAAATATACACGAAGCAAAGTTTGGAACTTTGGGCCTCCTTAGGGGTAGATATTAAAAAAATGATGTTATGGCCAACTTGATAATTAAAATCCATTTAGATCTGTCTTAAGGAAATAAAATCATCTGGACAACTATATTGTCATTTAACTTTCCATGCTATCGATATAAATTTCCACAATATTTCTCTTTATTTACCATATTTGATTACATAATAGTAATATAGTTTTTAGTGGTTTGCATATCACAAAAATTGTTTCTTTGATCCCCTCCCTATGAAACAGGAAAGGCGGACAGCATTACTGCTAATTCAGAGGAGTGATCTGGGCTCAGAAATATTAAATGTGTAATAAAAAATATAACACATTTACTATTGAGTCTGTTCAGAAAGAGAATGACAATAATAATAATAATGTAAAAATAAAACCACAAAACAATTATAATGCAATTAATGTATGCATATACTGCTGAGAGCACTTTTATATTCTGTTTTTTGTACTCTTATTAACGTCACTATGAGGTTGCAATTGTTTAATGGGATTTTTTCAGATACAAAATGTAGGCCTGGTGAGATTGAACAACTCTGGCTGACATAGCCATTGAGTCCTGGAGCGGGGACCCAAACTTGTGCTTTGTGACAACAAATCGTGTCAGAAAGCCTGGTTCCCACCACTTAACTCTCAACTCTATGCTTTTACCCCCACCTCTTTGACTGTGTATGTTGACATGATATGTAAAAATATAGTATATAAATATTTCTTTCTGTTATGATTATTATTACAAGTACGATGCATCTGTCCAAGAAATTTTTTCCTTTCCTTTCCTTTCCTTTCCTTTCCTTTCCTTTCCTTTCTTTTCTCCTCTTTTCTATTTTCAACTAATGGAGGTGTGCCATTGTCAACTAAGGTCATCCAGACCCTGCTGTAACTATTAGGTACAGGTTGGTTGGCCATGTGATTCTGAAGCTCAAGTGTGTGTGTGTTGTGTGTGTGTGTGTGTGTGTGGCGGGGGGGGTGGTTAGATACACAGAGATTAACTGGTTGTTAACATACACCATATGTATACAGAGAAGAAAGGATGATCCAGCATCCCCTAGGGAATTCCCAGCAGCTAACCATATTTCCCTTCGATGCAGGTTGCTGGGCAACCTCTGGAGGGTAGTGGTAATGTTTGGGGAACCTACATCCCATTGGACCCCCTTCATGTCTCTAATCTGTGACATGAGGTTGTAAACTTTACAAAGGATAGCCACAGTATGTGTGATAACCATGCCTATGTGCATATTAAATGACCTCGTTAATATTTAGCAGGCATGAATTTTATCTTAAAGTTTATACCTTTCATTCATTTTCCTCAATAGCTGAAATTTAAGCAGACACTCACAAGAAAAGTAGACCACCAATTAATTTATTGAAGCATTCAAATGCCTTTTCATATACGCACAGTGCAAGGCGCCTAACATTAATGGTCTACTTTGGATATGTTAAGTTACTGGAAAACACGGAAGTCAATAATCAAGAGCCCCTTTTTGTTGGTTGGTTGGTTGGATGGTTTGTGGTTTGTAGGAAAGAGAAAAAGGATAAGAGATAAAAAAAAAAAAGAACACATTTTAATTCTTCTCTTTGCTTCCCCCCTACCTGCTCCTCACACACTTTACACACTTGCTTAGTCCCTAACTCCTTTGATATTTTGTATTCCGTGTTGGACTTGGCTGACATAAGAAACTCCCTGTAGAGAGGCAGGTTGCCTCTGAGCTAAGGCTGGTTTCCATGGTGCTGAAATGTCCACTTAAAAGTAAGCACAGTCCTGAGGTACATACACGTAGTGCTTACACCAACCACAGGTCACTCAGAGCCAGAAGGAGTAAGACATTTGTACTGCACATAAACAGCATCAGGCCATGCAATTTTACTTTATTTCAGCTCCCATTTGGAAAAAAGAAATCTCATTATCCTGTACCATATATTTTAAGGTCAGTGAATCATGTTGGGTTGTTCTCACTTTGAAAACCACTTTTAAATGGATGAGTGTAATTGCTTGTAAATACTCAGATCTGTGAACAAATATGTTTTAAAACATCCTTTTCCACCCCTTCTGGGAATTCCTTTAGATTTGGGGAATGCAGGGGAGGAAAATGCTACCTTAAATTTGTTATACAGGAAGGAGGGCTATTGGCTGCAATAGCCTGTTCTAGTATGTCAAGATTTCCCTCTCTCTCTCTCTCTCTCACACTTTTTAGATTTGTCTCCTTTAAAATATGTAAGGTATAAGCAAAACACCAATTAAGTTATTAGGTGTTGGAAATTGTAACGCATTCATCGTTTATTTAGTATTGTTCAAAGAAATTTTGTTATTGGATTGTGGAGGGCTGATTGCATCCATGGTGGGGGGGGGACAGGATATTAAGGCTACAACATACTTCAGGTGAAGGGTATTTTAGATACAAGTAGTATTTTCTTTTTGTACAATGAATGCTTTAGAACTCTTTTAATGGACAGTCTAAATTATCCAAAAATGCACATTATCATTATCTGTAATCTAGAAAAATATATCTGCAGTAAAAATTAGTATTAGGGATCTTTTTTGAAAATTAGATCCCACATGTCTGGAGAAAATGCATTTCATAGTAGTAAATTTCTATATATATATTTTTTTTTAACAAAATAGTCATGTTGAGTGACAAGAACTAGTTTCTGAATCTTTGGAAAGAGGTTTGCTAATTGCAGGCCAGCATCAGTAAAGTTATTGAGAAATTTCAGCTGCTCAGGGGCCTCGCTGGGTGGAATGCTCTACACTGTTCCATGCACATCCTGCAGATCCTGTGGGTTCCTGGAAAGGGTGTGAATTAGAAACCCTTAGAACTCAGGACTTCACTCTTGCTACCTCCAGTGGGAGACTGGAAAAGCTGGGAGGCCCATGTGGTGTCTCAGCTTCACCTGTGGCTCTCTGTGTGTGTGTCTAAGAGGCATAGCTGATTGGGGAAGGAGGAGGGCAAGCTGAGACTAAGGGAATAGAGATTGGGTTTAGTCTGGAAGGGAGAACATTAAAGGCAAAGAGGTTTTTCACCCCACCACCTCCACCCTAACAGCCTAGAAATCGCTCAGTGTCTCCACTACACCGCGGTGGGCACTGTGCCTGTAGGTATAGGAATCCACACCCTAGCAAAGTACCCACCCCCTTCCAATGTCCTTGCCTTTTGCTCTTTTTTAGGCTGCCCCAGGGCTCCTACACTCAGCCTCCCAGTCTCTTTTTATCCCACCTGAGAACGAAGTCCAGAGTCTTCCAGGGAGTTATTTTGACGGGGGACTGGACCATTCTCAGTGGCCCGCAGGCGTGGCATGGGGATCAAATGGGGCGCTTAGGTGCCTGTTCCTGGTGTTGGCTGACTGTTCTCTCCCCTCCTTGAACTCTCGGCCACAGAGCCAGATCCGGGCTCTGCCCCGCACTGGTGGAACCCTCCAGACTTTGGAGGCTCCATGTAGAAGAACGCAACTTGGGGACGAAAACTTGGAAGCTCGGGGTTAGCCGGCTGTGGGAAGTCCCCGCGGTCCCCACATTTTACTCTTGAGATACGGACATGCCTTTGACTACCCGGCGCCCGGGTTGCCAGGGACCCGGAATGCGCATCTGAACCGCCCGACGGCCACCCAGACGGCCGGAGAGCGCATCTCCGCGCCCGAAGCAACTGGCTGCAGCCGCGCGCGACCCCGCGCCCGGAGTGGGGTGCCCGCCCCGGAGAGCCTGGCCCCCTGCACTCCTGCCCGCGTTCCCGCAGCCCGGATTGAAAAAACCCGCCAACCGTCCCTGGCGGGGAAGCCCGGCACTCGCCGGGAAGGCAGCAGTGACGCGGCTTCCCCTTTCCCGGAGCCTCCCGTGCGCGCTGCCCTCGCCACCCCCGGGCTCTGCCCCTGCGCCGGCGCGCGCTGCCACCCCGGGACCCGCTGCCCTCGCGCCGGCCCAGGGAGCGGCCGCGTCCCGCGAGCCGGCGGCCCGGAGCGCTCCCCGGGGCTCACTCACCGATCCTGAGTACTTGCGGGGCGGTCTGGGGGAGGACGCAGCAGAGGAAATAGAGGAGCGCCCAGCCTGTGTCCCTGGTCCGGAGCCCGGGCTGGGCGAGGAGTGCGCGGCTCTCCATCTTCTCGGCTTCTTAATTCCTGCCGAGCCCCAGCCGCGGCCGCACGCCCGCCAGATGCAGCGCTACCGGGCCGGCTCCCTGCCTCATCCTCCCTGGGATGCTCGGCGGCGGCACCCCTGAGCGCTCCCCCCCCCCCCGGAGAGATTTCGAGGGCGCGGGCGTGGGAACACGGAGCTGGCTGGCGACGCGGGGCTCGCTCGGGGCTCCTCGCTTCAGCCGCTAGCCCATCACCGCTGCTGCTCCTCCTTCGTGGGCCGCGGACGGCGGAGGACCGGCGCGCTTCTGCTCCCGGAGCCCAGAGACCAGCTGGGGAAAGTTGATGTCCCAATTTGCGGGCACGTCTTCCTCATTCGTCCTCCGGTCCGATGGAGAGTGGCGGGGGGCGGGGGACGGGGGGCGGGGGTTAGGGGGGGTAGGGGGAGGAGGCAGCCAGAGAAGGAGAGGAAACGGGGAACGAAGGCGGAGGAGGATGGAGAGAGGGGACTGGGTGAGTTGGTGCAGGGGCTCTGAGCAGGCAGGATGGGCTCCAGCAGGTTAACTGGGATCGGAGCCACGCTCTTGCCTCTCTCAGTCCTTGCTTTCCTCCTCCCCTCGCTGGCCCCACCCTTGATTTACTGCCCGCCCCAACACCAGCGATCCAGACACTCACGCGCGCGCACACACACACACACACGCACGCAGTCTTCCCTTGCCCTCAACTTTGCGCTGTGCTGCTTGGAAAGTCGATTGAGCGTTACATACTCGAGACCGAGAAAATCTTATCTACTGGTCGGAACCGAGGCAGTTTCCGCCGTGCGCTGTGAGTGGTAGAAAGGCCTTCTTGGTAGTGTCCCTGCGCGCCCGTTAGGGGGTCGTGGGGATGCCCAACTAGGACTCTTCCCATCACTAGGTGGAGAATCGCCTTCTCGGACGCGAGTATCTCAGAGAATAGCAGAGCTGCTGTTTTAACTCCGGCGAGGATGAAGAGGAAGGAGAAGAAGGGGGGGGGGGGTGCCTCCCGTACTCTGAGATTAGAGTGGCTTCTTTCCTATTCAGACCGGAGATAATCTCTTGTAAAATTGCTTCGCTTCCATTTACAGATGCAGAACTGCGAAAGGGGCAGATTCCAGCGCCCCTCCTTTTCTTGATTTCTTTTGACTGCCACGTTCGAACGCTGGAAGACAGTCTATTTTAGCAATGTAGGTTTGGAGACTATTTCTCGTAGAAGGACAAGGACAGTTCCCTGGGGAAATCATCAGCATTTGATCATTTTGGCTTAATTTCCTTTGAGCTTTCTGGGGAATGTTCTATATAAATGTTTGCTGGCTGTGCATTAACATTCATAGAGATTTTTTTTTTTCCTAAGTATGGATTTTGGAGGACTGACCTAAACGGAGTCAGTCTATCTTAAAAACATGTCCACAGACATACCAACCTAGAATAGGAAAGAAGTACAAAACAGACCTAATGTATCTTAAGGTGCATTCATTCATTCATTCATTCACCCAATACCTGAGTATCTTGTATGTGGTGTCAGAAAGCATACTTTTTCTGGGGGGGGGGGGGAGAGAAAGTGAGAGAGCACAAGTAGGAGAGAGGGACAGAGGGATAGAGAGAGAGAATCTTAAGCAGGCTCCATGCTCAGCCCAATACAGGGCTTCCTCCCAAGACCCTGGGATCATGACCTGAGCCAAAATCAAGAGTTAGAGGCTCAACCGATTGAGCCACCCAGGTGCCCCTAGAAACCATACCTTTTACTAAAGACCCTATAGTGGGCAAAACGCATCACCCATCCTCCAAGGTTGATTATAACCCCACTGCTGGAAGCTAGTCAGCTCCTATGCCAAGTAGTGGGATGAGAGTTGCCAAAACAGAACACATCCACAGATAAGAAGAGGGGTTCATCTAGGGGCAGCTGGGTGCTCAGTCAATTAAGCATCAGACTTTGACTCAGGTCATGGCCTCACTGTTCATGAGTTCAAGCCCCGTGTGGGGCTCTGTACTGACAGCTCAAGCCTGGAGCCTGCTTCAGATTCTGTATCTCCCTCTCTCTGTCTGTCCCTTCCCTGCTCACACACTCTCTCTCTCTCTTTCAAAAATAAACATTAAAAAAATTTTTAAAAAAGAAGAAAGGTTGATGTGGATTTAGGATTGCATCTCATGCATGGATTAATTAAACCAGAAAGTATTAGGAACATATGCTGGTTATTTTCAGAAATTTGAAGAGCTCTTATGTTAAAAGAAAGTAGTCTTAGCTTAGTTAAGTGAAAAGAAATATGAAAAATAAGAATATTGGATGGAAGTTGTAAGAAGAGTAAACTTCACCTGAATTTTTGAGGGGGGTACTGGCCATTGCTAAGTCAGGAAAGTGTCAAACAGTGGTGTGGCCTGCTTCAGAAAGAAGTCAGACTCTCTATTCATTCAATCACTCATTGGTTCATTCAATGCATATTATGTGCCTACTTTGTGGGAGGCATTGTGTCAAGCCCCTGAGACACAGCTGGAATATGGTTGCTGCTATGATGCAACTCTTAGTAAAGAAGTATGATGAGTTACAAAAAAAATGGTACTTTGGGCATAAATAAAAGGAGAAATCCAACCTCATATAGGAGTTTGGGAAGACCTTGATAAAGGAGTGATCCTTCAAAACTCTAAGAATGAGTAGGTTATACGTGATTACTAAGTGCTTCTTAGAGTGAAATAAATATAACAATTGCTAGAGGATTTATTTTGAAGCCTAAAGATTTGTGTTAAGTATGTGCAGTTGTCTGTTGTTTTCTTGCTACATCTGGTAAGGTTGCATCCCTAGATCTTGAGAAGCCAAAGTCTAGAATTAGGTCTGCTTTTGACCAAACAGGGTTTGAATCCTGCTTTTACCTAATTCTAGATTTGTAGCCTTGGTTCAATTACTTTATCTCCCTGTAGTAGAGATTGCTAATGCTTACCTATATCCATTTTTCTTCTTCCCAGGCACGTTAAAGTCTGTACCTTTCCAGTTAAGTGTAATCATGTGATCATTTGTGAAACGAAATGCGAGTGGAAGTGGTGTGTGCGTTTCTGGGTGAAAAAGAAGACAGTGAAAGACCTCACATGGCCCTTCAGCACACTCCTCTCCTGGAAGAGTAACCCTGAAAGCGACAGGATGTAGAGGACAAGACGAAAGGAGCCTGGATCCCAGAATCACATTATGAAAAGGAGGTGCTCTAAATAGTTGTCAGACCAGCAACAAACTGGCAACAAATCAGTAACAAACCAATTTTATGCCCATTAAGACTTTGAGGTCTGGGGGTGCCTGGATGGCTCACTCTCTTAAGTGTCTACCTCTTGATTTTGGCTCAGGTCATGATCTCATGGTTCATGGGATTGAACCCTGCACCAGGGTCTACACTGACAGCATGGGGTCTGCTTGGAATTCTCTGTCTCCTTCCCTCGCTGTCCCTCGCTCCCTCTCCCTCTCAAAATAAATAAATTAACTTAAAAAACAAAAGATTTTGAGGTCTGTTTGTTACTGCAACATGACCTAATCTACACTGACTGATACACCTTCTAAGACTCGATATCTTCATTTGTAAAATGAAAAAAATAATAACACAATAGGGCCATTGGAAGATTATATTAAGTACTGCTTATAATGTATTTTCCAAAGCCCTTGTTACTCAGCATGATTAGTTCATTTGTGGTAATTACTTTTTTGGTTAAAGGAATCCATACATACATTTCGAGTTTAAATATGCCTCACAGGGCAGAGACCAACTTGTCTGGTGGGAAATGTGTTAATAATAGTGATTCAATTAACAGCATGGTCATAAGATTTGGTCCAATACTATTTAAGGAAATTTTATTACTTTTATTATTTTTGTTACAGTTCCTTTTTGATTGGTAGAGCTCTTAGAAAGATTGCATTTCCTAAAATAGGTTTTTAAAGGATACGTGACACACTTAAGTTACTTTTCTGTATCATTTGTAAAATTCTGTAAAGCTTAAAACTGAAATTCATTTCCTTGTTAAAATGCTTCCCTTCACTGCTCATGTACACAGGCTCATGGTGTTGAGTTACTCATGACTGCTCAGCAGCTGCTGTTAATTTGTTTTGTGCTTTTGAGAAGGATTGTATTTTGTGTATATATGCGTCTAGTTATTTTTTGCTCAAAATGACTACGTTAATCACTTTTGATTCACATTTTTATAGTGCCCTCTTGAGAATAAAAATGCCCCATTGAATGCATACTGTCTTTTCCCCATTCCCCAAATGTTAAGCTTAAATCAATATAGTGTGGTTAATAATGAGCAGAAGAGTAATGAACAACATTGTGCTTCCTATGAGAGCTGATGGCATACTTAGATATTAATCCATTTAAAATCACTTAATTTTTAGAAGATAATTAGACACAACAAAAGAAGATAACTAGATACAAAGAAAAATAGCTTAAAATAAACTGAGGAACCCAGATGTTTTATAACTGTGCTTTCAAAATGTAGTGAGTATACTTGAGTGTACTTATGTTACCCAGGGCACTGAAAGTAAAAGGCTTTTAGAACCTCCTAGGTATGAGTAGCTGATTTAGGATCAACGTCCTCATTTGTAGCTATTTCTTTGTCTATATGTTTTCCCTAGGCGATGTTGTGTGTTTCCAAGACGTTAAATGCCTGTCAGCCAAAGATTCCCAAATTGTATCTTGTGCTCAGATCTTGCCTCTGAATTCCAGGTTCATACAGCCAATTCTAATTATTATTTCTGCCCCTGCCCCAGCTTGTCCAGCTCTTGATTCTGTGCCATAGCATTGCACCACCCCAAGTCCACTTCCAAATGTTCTCATATCCATACGCATACCACCTTCCATTGGGCTATTACAACTGGAAACTCAGGACATCATTCTTGAGTTCTCCCCGACACTTTCCCTATATCCAGTTCATTTGCATACACTATATTGGTTTTACTTCCAAAACATTTCTTGAATCTTTTTCTCTGCAGCTCCTTGGCTACCATACTCGCCTGGGTGACCTCAACCTCAAAACTTGTGATATTTGGGCCAGAAAATTATTTGTCGTGGAGGCTGTCCTGTGCATTGCTGGATGTTTCACAAGTTCCCTGGACTCTATCCACTAGATGTCAGTAGTACCTTCCTCCCAAGTTGTAACAAACAAAAAATGTCTACAGACATTGCCAAATGTCTTCTGAAGTACAAAATCACCCCAGATGGGGACTATTGTACTAGTCCAAATCACCATGATCCCCCTTCTGGTCTGTTATGGTAGACTCTTCATTGTCGCTCTCCCCACATTGCCTCTTTTGCTTGTTTGGTTTTCTTTTTATGCTTATTTATGTTTGAGAGAGAGAGAGAGAGAGAGAGCACAAGCAGGGGAGGGGCAGAGAGAGAGGAGACACAGAATCTGAAGTAGGTTCCAGGCTCTGA